TTATCTTTTATTTTTATATTTTTATCTTTATCATTATTATCATTATCATTATTATCATTATCATTATTATCATTATCATTATTATCATTATCATTATTATCATCATTATTATCATTATCATTATTATCATTATCATTATTATCATTATCCTCATTATTATTACAATTATTATTTCTATCTGTGATGATAATTTTTATTCAACATTTATGAGTTTTATTTATAATTATCATATAAATCATAAATATATATATATATACTTTTTTTTTTCTTTTCTTTTTTTTGAGGGGAGGGGGGGAGGGGGGGGGGTTCAAACTAAGGTCAGATTTTTTTTTTCTTTTTTTTTTCATTATCAATTATTTTCGTTTTATATTCACTATTCTTATTTTTGGAAGGGGGGAGGAGGGGGGGGGGGGTAAACAGAGGAGATAGGTAGATGAATAAATGATGACGATGACGATGAAAAAGAAGAAGAAGAAGAAGATGATGATGATGATGATGAAAATAATGATGATGATGATTAATCTACTTAAATAATATTAATTAATTTCAGTTAAATTAATTAATATCACGTAAAAAGCATTACAAAGCAAATTTTATTCCACAATGCAAACAAATACGGAGAGAGAGAGAGAGAGAGAGAGAGAGAGAGAGAGAGAGAGAGAGAGAGAGAGAGAGAGAGACAGAGAGACAGACAGACAATGAAAGAGAAAGAGAAAAAAAAACAAGGACAAAAATGCATTCGAACTCGCAAAAACAAAAACAAAAAACAGTGCAAACAATTAACATTAAAAAAAAAAAAAAATCACAAGACAAGACCACGCAATTTCTATATCAAAACTTTCTAAATCAAAACCGAGGTCCTTCCTAATTGCCTCTTTAGCTCAATGCCGCCGGAGAAAATGAAGAAAAAAATGGAAAAAAAATGTTGTAATTATTTTTTAATCTTCCCTGATTTCATCTTTCCTTGAATTGGCGGGAAAAAAAACGTATTTTTTACTAGTACTATGAAAATCGATAGTGTTATTGTTATCATAAACATTATAATTACTATAATGTTATAAACATTACTAACACCAAAATAAGGTAACGTAAAACATTTTTGTAAATCAAGGAAAAGGATAAAGAGGCGAGACGGGGAGTTCTCCTAACAAGCTCATGGGTGACTTAGTAACAAGTATAGCCATCTATGTGTTTATAAACAATCAAACAAGTAAACTCACAGTGGGCATGGCATACACGTACATACACGCCCGTCGGTATAGGGTTAAATGCCCTCTCTAGACAGCTGCCAACTTTACAAAACATTCTTTTAAATATATATCTGAACGCGATACCCCAATTTCTTATTGATGGCCATGAGACTACAAAAAACCAGTTTCTGCTTCGAATACAATGTTTTAGGATCCCTTTCTAAATGCCAAAAGCACTTCAAAATGCCTCTTAATTCTGTAGGTCATTTCTAATTCTAGCCAACCACCTTCTAGTCCTATTTCTAAGTCAAAATCTAACTTGAGACTCGTACCCCATTATATGCCGTTCGATTCCCGGAGAGCAGAAAACGGCGCAGGTAATTTTTAGAACTTTTAGAAGTGACTGAATCAACGCATGTACTTCTAGAAGTGACTGAATCAACGCATGTACTTCTAGAAGTGACTGAATCAACGTATGTACTTCTAGAAGTGACTGAATCAACGCATGTACTTTTAGAAGTGACTGAATCAACGTATGTACTTCTAGAAGTGACTGAATCAACGCATGTACTTCTAGAAGTGACTGAATCAACGTATGTACTTTTAGAAGTGACTGTAGTTTTAGAAGTGACTCAATCAAAGCATGTACTTTTAGAAGCAACTAAGTTTTAGAAGTGACTGAATCTATGTATGTACTTCTAGAAGCGACTGTAGTTTTAGAAGTGACTGAATTGATACAGGTACTTTAGAACTTTTAGAAGTGACTTTAGAAGGTGCCTTTCCTAATTAACTGCCTCTTCAAATGCCTTCCTCCTCTACCTACCAATCCTAATCTTAATTTCCAAGTCCCACTCGAGGGCAGCGGAGAGCAGAAATTGACCGAGATCCCTTTCCTAACTAACTGCCTCTTGAAATGCCTTCCAAACTCCACCTCCACCTCCACCTCTACCTCCACCTCCTAAACCCTACTTTCCAAGTCCCACTCGAGACTCACATCCCCGGTACCGCTCGACCGCAGCGGAGCAGAACTCGACGCAAGAACTGAACTTTTTGAAGCGGTTTTGATCCCTTTCCTAACTAACTGCCTCTTGAAATGCTTTCCAAACTCCGCCTCCACCTCCACCTCCTAAACCCTACTTTCCAAGTCCCACTCGAGACTCACATCCCCGGTATCGCTCGACCGCAGCGGAGCAGAACTCGACGCAGGAACTGAACTTTTTGAAGCGGTTCAGGTTCCCTCCGCAGCCTCCGTAAGTGAAGGGAACACAAGTGCCTTCCTCCGCAGAGAAGTGCCACCGCTTGTAGCCGTC